TATTGAATCCCACATAAACTGATCAATATATTCAGGTAGAAATGGGGAACTCATAACTCCAAGTCTTCTTAGATATTTATTAAGACGAGACCTGTACCTTTTTACCTGATTTGAACAGACACCTGTTTGTGGATCCTTAAAATATTTGCTATGATTCACAGTTTTGTGAATATAGCCTAAATTTGTTAAATTAGAATAACCTTTCCACTTATCTGTCCATATTTGTGTACCTTTCCGGGGCGGACATGTTTTTTAATTATTTCCACTAACTCCCCTCCATTTCTACTTTTGAAATATGTTATATACCCCCTTTTTGAAACTAGATCATAAATTCCTAAAACCCATTGTTCTTTTATCACTCTATCATTGTATTTTCTTTTTGTTATAATATTTTGATCTATCTGAATAGTGTGTCCTTCTCCACCTGCAATAATAATAGTGTGAAAAGTAACTAAATGTTTATATATTTTTTTTATTTCACCTAATAAAAATGGTTCTTCTTGCAAAAGTTTCCAAGAAACGACATCCCGCAAATATCGATATACTTTTATCACTGACCTTTTTTGTAAATTGATTAGTTCTGCTGTACTTTTAACAGGAGTTTGAGCTGCCCAAAACCAAATAGTATAAAATAAAGTTCTGACTGGTATTCGCAGTCCTTCAAAAAATGTACCAATACAAATGGGATACATCTTTCTACATTTAATACACCAAAATCCATGATTTAATTTGTACCCCTCTTTTTGTCTGACTGTACATGAACGTCGACAATTTCGAACTTTACATTTAAATTTTTCTTTAATTAATCCAACATTTTGCAAATTAATTCCGCATCGTTTTTCTGTGTAATATTTACTATATCAAGAATAGAAGACACTTCCATTTTGTCAGAATAAAAGCAAAACAATCAAAACATAAATTTTTTCGTTTTTATTTATATATTGTGAGTCTGTGACATAAACTAAATTTTTAAACTTAAACAAAGACAAAAAGTGATGGATTCGATTTGACCGTTAATTTTTTTTGACAAGTTGTATTGTAAATTACAGAGTTCTATTAAATAACCTAAAGGACTACAGGTCAAACCGGCTAGAGGGCGCCATTTGTCGGTGAAAAAATAAGGGGGCGTGAATTTGAAAATTGCCACCATAGATTAAATATATATAAGTAGAGATTGCCACTGCCACTCTTCTTGGTATTCTCCATTCGCTTAGCTCGGGCATATTTTGACAGATTCATTGTCGGAAACCTACAACACAAAAATTCCTACTTCTCAGTATTAATAGCTCAAATATACTACTATTGCAGACTTCTTCCTTTAAAAAAAGAAGAATTATTCCAAATGGTGGAAGTGTATACTAAACCCATAACATTATCCCTGTATATTTAAAATATAATATTTGAGTTGTTACAATTACATATTGTAGTAAATATTTGTATTATTCGCGTTATTTATTTTAGCTAATATAGTTTTATTGTTCCATTATTTTTGTTTAATTCTTTGTTAGTTCTATTTAGTTAATTAGTTAGTTCTATTTTGAATTTTATTGTTAGAGATAGTCAAAGTTTTCCATTTGTTCTATCAGATAATGCGTTGGTAAGTTTTTCTTGAATAAATATAAATATGATAAATGTTCTTTAAAAGTTAATATTTTTAGATGAGTAAGGATGCTGTTAAATTACAAGGTAATCAAACTGCACAAAGATTTATTCAAAACACCAACCATTTTTGTTTAATTATTTGCCCATTCGGCGTAGGTGGATCATTAAAATATATTTATAAAATTATGTAAATATGTTCTTAATAAAAAAAATATTTCAGTTAACATCCAGTTCAGTTTGACATGGCGTCAAAAATTAAATAAAAGCTCTGATAAAAGTTACAGTAATTTAGTTTATATCGTTAAGTTGCTGAAAATGTAGGCAACCAACTTAAACTTTTTGTTAGGATTTAGCTGGAATTTCTTGAGAATATTTTTAATAACCGTTTATTATTTTCCAGTTAATTTATTATTTTTTAAAAGTGATGATAATAATGCTGAATAAGCAATATTTCAAATGATATTTAATCACAAAACGTACTTAATATTGTGGTATTGTAAAATCCTCATAATAAAGTACGTTAAAAAAGGTAAAATCCCGGACCGTCCAAAACTAGTTTCTAATAGGAATAATAGAAGATTATGATTTGTTTTAATTATATTTTTGATGAATGATGTTTTTGAATTATAATATGAATATTATGATATTTTTTATCTAACCTACTTTATAACACAATATTAAGTACGTCCTGTGATTAGATATCATTTGAAATATTGCTTATTCGGCATTATTATCATCACTTTAAAAAATAATAATAAATTAACTGGAAAATATTAAATATATTCTCAAGAAACTCCAGCTAAATGCTAACAAAAAGTTTAGGTTGGTTGCCTACATTTGGCGCAACCTAACGATATAAACTAAATTACCGTAACTTTTTTTATAAAACATATTTTTTATATATAATAGAAACTTACATTCTATATACATGCTATAAATTTCAAATTCATAGTATAAGTTTGCAAAAGAGGTCGACGAAATACTCTAATGAAATGCGCTATGAGCACGTGTACTTAGTTGTATAATAATTTCCAGCCACTTCTAGTCTGTCAAAAAGTAACTAACTTCGTAAAAACATAATTACTAAAATCACTAAGTTCGGACTGGCATTAGCGAACCGAGTATACCTACTGGCTCTTGATATAATATCTGTCTTTGGGGGTGTCCAGTGTTCATTCTTTCAAGGTGTCCTAGCCACCTTAGTCTATTAATTTTAATAGACCGGACGATGGTGCATTTTTCAATTTGAAAATTATACTTGTTAAATCTCGTTTATGTTAGCTTTATTTATGATTTTTATCAAGGAATAATGCAGATTGGGAATTCCTTTATCAACTTAAAACTTTTAAGCAAGCAAAACGATTGTTATATGCTAAAACAATTATAAAAAAAGATTCCTATCCCGCGGGTTTAATAGTTACACATTTTAGTAAATAGAGTTTAAGAAAAAGAAAAGTAGCATTTACTTTTTCAGTCTTTTGTTTTTCTGGTGCATAGAGTCTAACCACAGAATAGGCCTAATCCTGAGTGCCTGAGGCACCCTGAGGTATTCATGAGCTAACCTTCTGAGCTTGATTCAGTGACAACTGAAGTCTACTACTTTAGTACATACTGAGAGAAACCATTGCCTGAAGAAAGGTTATTTACTACATGGAGAACAATGCAATTGACTCTAGCATTCATACATGAAATATTTTTGAAGTCATCAGTTACCAAAAACAAGGCTTTTCTGTGTTTTCCACAGCCTGAAAATGGTTTTTTGTGGTAGTCACTAACCCACCATTATTTTTTAAATTTGCTACCCTGCTAAATTCCCCAACAGGTGCATAAAAATGATCGTATTGTGGTTTAAGGTGGTATGTCACAATGTTAAAATTAATATTTAGGCATGATACTATAACAAAACAAGATAAGTCAACGCGCATGTTCTTGTGACGTAAGCCTGAGACAAATTGTCAAAATGCCAAATTGACAAAATTAATGACAGCAAGTTAAACTTTAAAATTAAATTTAAATTTTTCATTTGATGCAATTCTAGTTATATAAATAAAAAGAATTAATATTAATAGTAGCAGAGAATTAATATATCAATATTATAACAGCAGAGTAAATGTTTCTATGGATAATAATAAATGTTTTTATAGATAATAATATATACTAATGCCCATTTTAATAGAGCTTGAAGTAATACTTTATTTTTGATAGGTCTTTAAAAAAAGGTACTTTGGATGTATGTAGTGAACTGGAACATCTTTTTCGTAGTTATAATGGCGAGACATTAAAATAACAAAAAATTGTTTAAAAAACTTAATAGAAGTTGCAAAATATGTAAATGTTAGCGAAGATGTAAAATTACTTTTTTTTAGATGTAAAATATATTTTAAAATACAAATTCTAAATCAAAATATTAAAGATAATTACAATACTACAAAAGAAAAATCACAAAGATTGTAAAATAAATGTCTAAATAATATTCATAAAATCATAATTCTTTACATTTTGCCGGCCTTTTATATTTAATTTATGTTTTGTAGCAATATTTATTTTGTTTGTAATACACAGAATTCAATCGTAGATTCATATATATTTCTTTAATTAATTTATCAAATTACTTATTAATTTTCAAAACACGTTTTTAGAGAAAGTAACTAGTTATGACTTATTAGTGCAAGATATGGCATCGAGGTATACTTACCGTTAACAGTTTCAGTTTGAAGTTGTTAAATCTTTGTAAGTGGGTATATTTAATTAAAAAACTCATCAAATACATCAAATTAACACGAACGTTTTCGGAATAATAATTCCATTATCAGGTTAAAAATGCAGGTTAACATGCCTGAGCCACCAAAATATTAGGGTAAAAACCCTTTTGAAATAAATAAGTTTACCAAAGATTGTACATATTGTTGTTAATAATAATTGATGTTTAATATTTAATTATATTTTACTTTAGGTAACATACACCTATGCCTTACGTGAGTACCAACGTCCGGAGAGCAGACCTCTTCAAATGGACTTCAGCTGGAAACTGATTGACAGGAATCAGATAAAACTCAAAATAGAACTAACTAATTAACTAAATAGAACTAACAAAGAATTAAACAAAAATAATAGAACAATAAAACTATATTAGCTAAAATAAACAACGCGAATAATATAAATATTTACTACAATATATTAAATCCTAACAACTCAAATATTATATTTTAAATATACAGGGAAAATTTTGATGGGTTTAGTATACACTGCCACTATATACAATACTTCTTCTTTTTTCAACGAAAGAAGTCTGCAATAGTAGTATACTTGAGCTATTAATACTGAGAAGTAGGAATTTTTGTGTTGTAGGTTTCCGACAATGAATATGTCAAAATATGCCCGAGCTGTCAGAATAAATAAAGAATCAACAAACGACAGAAAAACAAAGTTGATACTCATGTTTTTGTTAAAACTTTTTTAATACTTTTAAAAAGATTACCGGCATATCATAATCATAGGTAAGCCGATAGACGATGGCCACAATAATTAATGAAATGGTACAAGAAAATATAGATGAACCATTTAAAATAATTGACATTGAGCAATTAGAACAAAACAATATTTGTCATAATTGCCATAAATTATTAAATGTTATACCTATTTATGGTCTTCAGCAAGAGGATGATACAATAAAAGAAGTATGTGGCCGATGTCTTCACATAACAGAGAAACATAAAGGGGCAAAATGGAGGCAAATCTCATATGAAAAAATAGCACAACACATGACTTTCCCATGCTGTTATAAAATGGAGGGGTGCAATTCAGTACTAACTTGGGATACAGTGTTGGATCATGAAGTAGGATGCCCCAAAGCCTTTTTGGTCTGCCCAGTTAATGATAATGGTGTTTACAAGGGACTTAACTGTCTTTGGAAAGGAAACACTGCAGAGTTACAGAAACATATTGAAGATGAACATGGAGTAAGTATAATTGCAGCTTTGTATATATACTTATTAAATACATTAAAAAACAAACAATTTAAAACCTATTGTTATCTAATCTGTGATTCATACAGAAGTCCACCCTATAATGGTTTGTCCATATAAAGGTATATACATAACATTGTAAACTTGGAATTGCCTATGATAGGAATCAGATTAGAAATACAAATGTTTTAACTGCTAGAAACACAAAAATTTCTGCTTCTCACTATTAATAACTCTGATGTAGGTCTTGTGCTGTAAAGACATACATCTAAGATATCAATCTACAAGATCATAATTCAGAAGCTTGGGTATTGACTCAAAAATCTGTAAACTGCATACACATATTTAAAATAAAGGTACTGAGATTAATACTAGGCCCTATAAATGAGCACAGCAGCATAATTATGAAATATGTAATGTATATAAAGAACCACTTTTATCTCAGTATGTACACCTAGAGCATCAGCATCCTATAGCAATGAGCAGGCCGTTTATTTAGGATAAAAGAAAAAACCTGCAACAAACTGTTAAATGCAAGAATGGAGGGGAAGAGACGTATTGCAAGACCAACAAAGCAATGGGAGAATGATGTGGATGAGGATCCAAAAAATCTCCTTGGCAGTCAATCGTGGAGAAGGATGGCTACAGACCTTAATGAATGAAGAGGTTTACTAAGGGAGGTCATGGCTCGAATTGGGCTGTGGAATCATAGGATGGATGGATATGGACTAATAATAACTCAAATAAACTAACTGTTGCAGCCTTTTATCATTGAAAATAAGAAAAAAATTATGAATAACGGGAGTGTAGATTCACCAATTTTCATTAAAAACTATCAAATAATCAATTCGATTTCTAAATAGATTCTGAGAAACATTTTACTTTGATTTTATCTGACCTCTGATGTTTTCATGGGAGTTGTTACAAGTTTTAATAGTTTTTTTAGTCTTCTTGAATGTACCTCGTATATTGTGTGTTATTCAAAATTTTAAAAAAGGTAGTATGCCATCTAATAACTTGCCATCAGTTCTTGAATAAATAACAACAGACATTTCAGTTTGTTATTGTTTTTTAATAAGTGTGAGATGAAATGAACAAATGGAAGTCTATTTTGGCTTTTATCAAGAATTCTTCAGCAACAGTGTCTACATTGTCTCTGTTAAGATGTTACATACCTTCACATTTTTTTTTACTATAATTCCTAATAAACCTGCAAATTATAAGAAATAACATGAAAGGGAACAAAGAATCTCTGTTGAAAATATTAGAAAATATAATGTTATGCTTTCTCTGTTATAATCATCATCATCATCATCATCATTGGTGCTACAGCCCCATAAAAGAGCCTCAACCTTCCCAAGTCTATTACGCCAGTCAGTTCTATCCATTGCCAACTATTGCCAGTTTGCTGCCTATTTTTCTACCATCCTCATTTACACCATCCGTCGATCTGAATTTTGGCCTACCCCTACTTCTACTTTCCACAGGTTATGACATAAGGATTCTTCTAGGAGGGTTCTGCTATGATATTGCCAGATGTCTTAGTCTTCCTATTTTTATAAGAGATACTATGTCTTTACCACCAAATATATGTTTATATCTATGATATATCTCGTAGTTGTACCTCCTTCACCAAACACCATTTTCACAGATGCCACCGAATATTCTCTGTTATAATAGACACCAGATATTACATAAATATTATTTTTTTAATATTATGTAATATGAGCCTATTGTATGTATAAACATCTAGACACCCTCCGATCAGTTTAATTTTAATATTAATTTTAACTTGGAGTCTGAAGTTTCCATTCTATTTCTGTGTTAAGAATTAATGTCAGGTATATATTAAATGTAATTTGTGTGTAAGATATAGTTCTAACTTTTTACATTCAATTATTTAAAACTTTATATCTCTTTTAGGAATTAATAATTAATCCACCATTTTTAGAAGAACTACCTAAACAAAACCAAATCTACTTTACTTATGTAAATAAAAAAATAGTCATGATTGTCATTTTAAAGGAAAGTGATAATAATTATTTTTCTTGTGTATTCTTTAATGGCAGTGATGTTGAAACACAATACTATAAGTATCAAGTAGAATTGATAGATGAAAGTAAAACCAGTTCCATTATATTACGAAAATATAGACTAGAGCCTTATGGAAATTTTTTGGCTATCTTAGCTGATAAGAAAAAGTTACTGGATATAAATTTGGAAGTAGTAAAGCCTATGATTAATCAACAAGGAAAAATATTTTCAGCTAGGTATGTATATAGATATTTAAAACTGTTTTCTTTATGCAACCACAATTGATTGCAATGAGAATTACATTTTGTATTTATTTTTGATTATGGAAGCAAAAAGTACGAAGGAAAATACACTACTCAACAATTGAAGTGGATAATTCTAAAATTCCTAAAATTAACATATAAAACTATTTTTAAAATAATTGGCTGTACTATACTCTATAATATGCTATCTTTATTGCCAATATTTTTTGCATGTGGTTTTTTCTCCCTATTCTTATCGGCCCTTATCTCGTACAAAGAGAGAACTGTTGTTCCAAACATGAATATATCATTCATATAAAAGTGCTTGTATTGGCTTTACCAGTTGTCAATAATTCAAGAAATCTATTTATTACAAAAACATTATGCCGCAAAGATGTTTAGAACTAGTGCAGCTCGAGCAATTAGTTCATTTGATCCAAGAAGGCATAACTCAACAAGAGGCTGCTATGAGGCTAAATGTGTCGCAAAGTGTGATAAGTTGTGCATGGAATCAGTATGTAGCAACTGGATATACAACATACAGGCATGGAGGAGGAAGAGAATGATCTACAACTCGTCGGCAAGACCGTTTTGTAGTTCTGACGGCAAGAAGAAACCCAACATTCACGGCTTCCAGAATTAACAGTATCTTCAGGCATGCTACTGGACGAGCGATTTCCAGTCAAACTGTCAGAAGACGGTTACATGCATCCAATTTAAGAGCTAGACGGCGCGCTACCCATCGCCGACTAACTAGGGAGAAGCGTGCATGCAGATATCACTGGGCGATGGAACACTATCAGTGGAATTTCGAAAATTGGAGGAATTGTCTCTTTACTGACGATTCCAGATTTCGTTTGTATACGAATGATGGCCTAATATTTGTTGGAGAGAGAGAGAGGACAGCGTTACATGAAAATCTGAGAGTCCCAACCACTCTTTTTGGAGGTGGATCCGTTTGCGTGTGTGGAGGCATATGTTTTGACGGTCGCATGGACTTAGTCGTCTTAATTAATGAGACAATGACTGCTACAAGACATCGAGAGAGAGTCATAGTACCAATAGTTGTTCCATTTTTTGGTGTAATAGGCGAACAATTTGTTCTGATTGATGATAATGCTCACCCTCACTGTGCGAGAATTGTCAACAAGTGTATAGAAGCTCATGGCATTACAAGAATGGAGTGGCCACCATGTTCACCTGATATGAATTGCATTGAACATGTTTGGACCGAAATGTCTAGGCAACAAAACAGGCTCCTTCAACCGTCCCAAACCGTTCATCAATAATTTAATAAGAGGTCTTCCAAGTAGAGTTAGAGCACTAAGGTGACACAGAGGTGGTCCCACACACTATTAATTTTTCTTTTCAGGATATTAGAAATTGAGCAGGAATAGAAATTTTAGGTTGTTAGTTTTACAATTTTTGTTTATTTTCTATTTTTTTTTTCTTAAAGAATTTCTTTCTTTCGGTTCATCTGTATGAAAATACAAAGTAAAAATAAATCTTTATTTATATCACTCCATTTTTCTATTTGACCCTATGGACAAAAAATAAAATACACATTTTCATAATATCCACTTCAATTGTTGGGAAGTCTATTTGAAGGAAAAATGGAGAACAGCATTTGTAGCAGGACAAATGAAGTTCCAAACATACTAGAAGTAATAAGAACCAAATGACTAAGATGGCTAGAACACATACAGAGGATGCCAGATGATAGACTGCCGAAAATGATACTTTTTAGTACTATAGGATAGGAGGACATCAGAGAAGAGGTTGACCCAGAACAAAGTGGAAAATGGATGCAGAAGATGATCTAAAAAGGCTCAACATCACAAATTGGAAGATAAAAGCCATGGGACTACTAGGCTTGATCCGCTGATTAGTATTATTAATTTTTGATGTTTCAATTTCCAATCCAGAAATTGTTTTCAAAAAATTGTTATAATTAAGAAATTTTGTTCACCTGTAAATGTTTATAAACATAAAATTTAATTACATTGATAAACATTTACGGGTTAACATAATTACTTATTATAAATTTTTCTTGAATGCAATTTTCATGTTGGAAATTGAAACATCAAAAACAAAATAATAAAAAGTAATTCCCATTACAATTAATTGTGGTTTAATTAGATATAAATACAATATTTTAAGTATGTATAAATATGTAGTTAAGTCTGTATGATATCATGTTTATTTAAATATATGAACACCCCTGTTACCGCATTGGAAATTATATTAAATGGGATTCCTATAAATATTATAAAACTTTAAAGGTAGACAAGTCAGCATAGATAGAGAGTGTATTTTATTAATACAGGTATAGTTGCAATCACTGTCACTAGAAAATCTAACAGATAGGATCATTTTCACTCTATAGCACGGTTGGGTGGTTCAAGATGTAAATCATTACAAGCAGTAGGTTATAAGAACTATTTAGAGAATATTCAAGCAAATCTTTCAAGTAATCCCCACTCTTTGGAGGTATGTTAGTACTACATGTGGGTCTAGTACTTGTCCTAATGTAATGTCTAATAAAGGTGGGGATGTAACAGCTCAGAATGGTGATGAAATAGTCAATCTATTAGCCAGTTATTTTTCAGGTACATATATTGATAGTGCCTATAATGTACCTAATTTTAAATTTGACTATAGTGTGGATTTCCAGATTCTGAAGTGTGATGTTTTCGAGGGGATTAGGAGTTTAAAAACTACATATTCTTTAGGGCCTGATGATATACCTGCAGCACTTATTAAGAACTGTATTTTTTCTCTTTGTAAACCTTTACAACAAATTTTTAATTTATCATTGTCATCATCTGTATTTCCACAATATTGGAAAAATAGTTTTCTTACACCCATCTATAAATCTGGCAATCGCGAGTGTTTTAACAATTATAAAGGTATAAATATTCAATCAGCAATCCCGAAACTTCTTGATAAATTGGTATTGATAAATCTCACCTGGACTTGTAGAAACATAACTGTTGACTGCGTGATGGATATTTCTGGATATTTATCATTAAATAAATTACAAACTTCCATCCGAATTTGTGATTTGTCTCCATACCCAATTATCATGAGTATTTCAACTGTTTGCTTTACATTAGAATTAATTTCTACTTCAAATTAATTCTAAGCAATAATACAGAATATTCACGAATTAATACAATTATTGTACTACTTAATTGTTACTGAACGTTACTTCAAATAATTACATTTTACTAAAAACCACTAGTAGGCTACTTTTTTGCAATTTATAATAAATAATTTATTTTCTAAGCGCATATCTTTCAAAATATATCCATTAGACCCGAGTATTATACTTTTTTGAAATCAGCTCATTTTTATAGATCTAAAAATGTCATAAAATATAGGGTGTTACATTTAAAAAAGAGCCGATGACGTCATCACCTTAATTTGTATCACCTTTTATAATAAAATTTTGTTGTAAAATTTAGAACATTAAACTTAAAAATCGACGTGTTTTAAATTTTTTTAAAAAGGCTTTTCATTTAGAAAATATCAAATTTATTCATACTTTACGCACTGGATAATTGTAAAATTCAATTGTAGTATTTATTATTTACAGATTTGGCCTTGCAATGAAAAATAAAAGGGATGTAAACCAAATTGATAAAGAGAATAATGTCACAAGCACGAAGATTTCTAAAACAGTTCCAAGCAATATGAAAAACCACGTTCCTGATGAAAATCTTCTTGCAGAATTAGAATGTCCTGTTTGCAATGAATATATGGTGCCACCGATTTATATATGTGGTAATGGTAAGTGAGAGTATTAAAATTATATATTAATTAAATTAAAGTTAACAATACTGGAATTGGATATAATTTACTATATTAGGCCATTATTTCAAAACTTGCTATTTGCTTGAAAGCCTTTTTGGGAAATCGACAGAGATAAAGAATTTTATTAATGTTACTTAGAGTTTTTAGCAATAGAAGTTAGTTTCAAGAAAGTTTGGAGCCACACTTATTTATAGATTTTTAGAAAAAAAAAATTATTGCAAATAACACGTCTAGTACATTTTACACATTCTTTATATATAATTAAAAACACATTTTTAATCTCATGTAAAGAAAATCTTTAAATGAAAAAAAAAACAAAAGACTCATGCTCAAACGAAAACGCAGTCATTTTCAGCATTTTGTCAATTTTCCAAACCATCAACGGTTTGTTTTGGTGTAAACATTTAGTTCAGGAAGGCTTCTCCAATTTTTTCCGTAGTGTTTGGAAAGGAGACTTAATAGTTCTTTTATCCTCCTTTATTTCTTTTCCCAGTGATAATTTCACAAGAAAGAAAAACATTTTCTTACAAATGCTTTTAGCTTTTCCAACGTTATTGCAGTCATTGGGTTTACCTCGACTAGAACATTTTTGTTTTTTTTTTTTTTGTCAAAAATAAACCGCCTCGACTTATTCAATTCGAAGTGCCATGAACTAGGCAGCTTAATAACTCGTTTTATGTGTGTATGTCTTTTTCTATAAAGTCGAAGATGCAATCAGGTGGAATAAAGGAATGAATTACGATCGGAAAAATCAATTCAATTTAAATGTTTCGACGATTCTTCTAGAAGCCTGTAAGCCAACATTGCCATTATATTCGTATTTTTGTTTTGTCCACCGCAGTACTGTTTCTATGCTGACATCAAAATTAAAATTCTTTAGAGCATGTCTGCAAAACTGATGCTATTGTATTACTACTGTACTGTACTAGTACTAGTACTGTAAAATTATTATAGTGTATTTGCTGGCTGAAATATGCTGCTTGATCAGGCAGGCTAGGCAGTATGAAGTTTTTTTGGCAATCGAATGTAAAGTATCCTTTGCTTTTGCGATATGAACACGATGCTGGGGCTTACTTTTGCTGAACAGCTGAAGAAATTACTTTCAACTGGTCCTTTGTTCTCAAGCAAGTGAAGCAACAGTTAGTCAGCGGAGTTCCAAAAGGGATGTTGTAGTTAACATTCACATACTTTCGAAAATAACTAAGCCTCACATGCATAGCTAAGCACTTTCGAAGATAATGTTTGAAAATTTCTTAAAATTCAAGTCACATGGCGAGTAGACCCTTACGCTTGTCTTGCTTCTACAGTAATGAGACTCTGTACATGTAATGGATTCTATAAATTTTTTTAAGCATTTTCTTGGTTCCACTCTATTGCCACCTCTATGTTCCCTGAGTAGCTCCCCAGTGACAACAAAATTTCTTACAATTCTTTGAATGCGGTACTTGCTTAAATTTGTGATTCCTAGAAACGACGTGGCACATACTCTAATCATCTCACCCTCACTCCCCACCACAAACATGATTAGATTTCCCTCTTTTCTGATTTTGTCCCTTACAACAAGCCAATATCAAAAGGTCTTCGTTATTTTTATCTCTTGATTGATAAAGGTAGGCATGAAAATCTTTCACTTGCTTCATCGTTAGTGTGGTACAATAATACGGCAATCCGGGTCGTTCATTATGACCACAAGTTGGAAATGTCGGCAGCGCTTTTGGTGTATTTCTGTAACAATACAACTCTTTTATTTAACTTTTTGTGTAGCCGTCCTCCTCCTCATTTCTTGAGCCCTTAGCAGGGCGTAGTGACACTCTAAATATTATTCCCAGGCTGTCTCCATTGGCTGCGATCCTGTGCCATATAGACGGCTTCATGTAGGGATTTTCTCGAAAGAGAATTCATTTGGGCTATCTATCCTGTTGGAGATCTTCCTCTTGGTCCTCGGTCTTATACCTTTCCTTTTACTCTACCAATATTTCCATGGTCTCTCCGTCTTCTAGGTATGCGGTTTACTTTTTTTAATAGCCTTTTTTTTATGAAGCTCATCCAGAACTGACAGGTTTGTTCTATGTTCTGTCCAGGATACGCTTACAATTCTTTTATAGACCCCCATTTCGAAGATCCGATCTTACTGATATCAATTTTTTTGAGAAGCCATGTTTCAGCGGTGTGTGTAGCAATGGGAAAAATAAGGACATTGACCAACTTGAGCTTAGTATTCCTTGTTATTGTTCGGTCTTTGCATATTTTAATGAGTGTAGCTGTTGCGGTTCGGGCCATTGCTAGTCTACGATTTATTTCTGAGGAGCAATCGCCATCGTTGGTTATCAGGGAGCTTAAGTATACAAATCTGTCTACCATTTCGAAATTCGCCAAATGGTTTATGTGCGGTAGATTATTATTTGCTCTGTCTACGATCATTATTTTTATTTTTCCGGTATTCTCTGAAGTCCGAATTCTTCGCTTATCCGTCTTGTCATTCAGTGATGGAAATCATTTCGCCTTAATGCGCTGCTAGTATAAGTGTGTCATCTGCGTTTCGCAAGTTGCTGATTTTTCTGCCTCCTATAGTATTTTCTCAACCAATTCTTCTAGTACTCTTCCCATTATATATTCAGAATATGATATTATAACAAATACAAATACAAAGTTCGAATACGCCGATGACTGGGTCCTCACTACACGATACAGAACATTAGAAACATGTGAAGAAGTTCTGACGGCAGACTTATATATATTGAGCAAATATTTCGCAAGTGGCAGCTTCAAATAAATGCATCCGAAACAGAAGTTAGTTGCTTTCACCTGAACAATAAACTTGCTGGAAAGGAACTCAACATACGGTTTGAAAATACCACACTTTCCCACAACAAAACATCGAAGTACCCGGGCGTAACACTAGACAGAACGCTATCATTTAAAGAGCATTTAACAAAAACTGCCTAAAAGTTGAGTACAAGAAATAATATTATACAGAAGCTCTGCGGTACCACCTGGGGAGCATCGGCTTCCACTTTGCGCTCTACTACCTTAGCCCTTGTTTTCTCGACCGCTGAATATTGTGCCCCAGTTTGGCTACACACTCCACACGTAAAAAAGTCGACACTCAGCTGCACAGCACTATGAGGATGATAGCTGGTACAATTAAATCAACTCCCACCCAATGGCTTCCAGTATTAAGTCACATTCCACCTCCACATTTACGACGAGTTGACGCACTTACACGTGAATACAAAAAAATAGAAAAGAAAAGAGAAAAGAGAATAGAAAAAGATACCGAGGATGCACGAAATACCCGTCTACGTTCTAGAAAACCACCAATGAAAACGGCAAGAATGATACATGAGGAGTTCAACATCACGAATGCATGGTCCCAAGAATGGAATGCATTCTAGTACTACAGTTGATTCAAATTCGACGTGCAGTAAAAGTAAACAAAACCAGGCTATGCTACGTAAGACTCCATAGGCGTGCGGTTTTGCTTTTATATTTCCTATAAGAAGATAAAATATACAATGTTAGTATTATTTTCAAGGAAATTCAAAATAAACGTCCCTACTGTAAAATAAAAAGAAACTTATGGTTTGACAAAAATAATAAAGCAGTAATTGCAACGTTGTTTTGACACTCAAATGATCAAAATCGAAACATAAAATACACTTATTTTTTAAGGTAAATTGTGTGTTAGTTCGAATCAAAAGTAGTAACTTATTAATATGTTTTCAGTTTTTATTTGGAAAACAATAAAATTCACTTGTAATTGTACATATTGTTTTAATAATTTAATACGAAAGCAAAACCGTATGCCAAATTTTGATTGATTGACAAAGAAGGCTTCTGGCTGAGTACAAAATAAACAACTGATTAAATCCTATCACGCGATATACAAAATGAAAGGGGAGCTATAACGATTACTTAAGGAAAGAAAAAACAAACAGGGCGACCCAAAAGGGCACTACAAATCCTCTTCGTTATTAATGGATGTATACTTTCATACGAGATATCATAGTGCACTACGGATTAAAAAGCGTCTGACTGAGTACAAGATAAACAACTGATCGAATCCTCACATGCGACATAGTAAATGAAAGGGAATGATATAACAAATATATTAAGATAGAAAATCAATTACATATATTAATAGATTCGTTATATCGTCACTTTTCATTTGCTATGTCGCATGTTAGGATTCGATCAGTTGTTTATTTTTTAGTCAACCAGAGGCCTTCTTGAAGTCAATAAATGAAAATTTGTTTTATAGTAAATTTAATGTCATCCATAGTGCCCTATGATATCTCGTATGTAACTAAACGTCCATTATTAACAAACATGCTGTGTAGTGTCCTTTTGGTAGTCGTCTTGTTTGTTTTGTCTATCGTAATATAATCTTTATCCCCTTACTTTTCATTTTCTATGCTGAATGTTAGCATCAGTTGTTTATTTTGAACTCAGTCAGAGGCCTTCCTTGATTCAATAAATCAAAATTTGTCTTATAGTAAATCTATTTTCATCCATAGCGTCCTATGATATCTCGTATGTAACTATACGGATATTAATAACGAAGATGCTGTGTAGTGCCGTTTTGGTAGTCATGTTGTTTGTTTTGTCTATCTTAATATAATCGTTATCCCCTCTCCTTTCATTTTCTATGTTGCATGTTAGGATTCAATCAGTTGTTTATTTTGAACTCAACCAGAGGCCTTGCTTGAGTCAATAATCACTTTAAATATAATGACTATAAATCATACGGTCGGCCGCAACTTATGCTACGATGTCTACTTCATATTTTCATATGTATTACATAATACAGGAAAATATAGGTTTATACATCGTTAAAATCATGATTTGCGAGTGCCCCTCGTAACATTCATACTGTTGACGATTTATTTATACTTACTGCAGCTCTATCTTGTATTTAGTGTAGAAATGTTTAGAAAGGTTTTCGAAGCCCCGCCCATTGTGACTTCAGAGGTGAGGTAGTCCATTAATAATACACAACTGACCGTTTCCAGTAAACAGACTCAAGTTTCAAAAACTCGTGACTCGAAAAACAAAACGAACTGTTTCAAAACACGCCAGTCTTTAAAAAGTTTGTGAAAAGTTGCTATTTTGTTTTATTGGACACGAGTTTGTGTTTTGTTTTTATTTTGTCCGTTTGGTGAGAAACCGCCATTAGATATTACATTTAATTTTAAAACAATTTTTACATATTTAATTTAATTTTATTAATTCAATGCATTACAATAACGAATTCACATTATTATGTTGTTCGAAAACCTTATTGTAACATTTATTAATTTGATTTTATCTTTGTTATTCTTCTGATCATAAAATATAAATGATAACATTTATTATAACTAAAAATGAATAAATTCAAGCACAATAATTCCCTGACGCACGCCCTGGCTAAAATATTATCACTAGAACAACAGTGGTCCAACTAAGTTATAGCAATTCTTCCGCGTACAAGGACTACTAAATGATATGGTATGCTGTTAATACTTGAGTTTCGTATACGATGTCTATTTATATAGTTTATGAGGTGGATATTATGTACGTTTATACATTGTAAATCATGATTTGGGATTGCTCCTCGTAATATTCATAATGTTGATAATCTGTCTTGGTTTGTTTACTGCTACTGCATCTTTAAGTTAAATTTGGTTTAGGCGATTTTAATGTTTCAAGGTTTATAGATAAAGATATATGTCTGATTTCAAAACTTCTGTAGTTTTAAGTTTTGCGGGCTCTACTGGCCTTAGACAATTTAACAATGTTGTTAATTATTTGGGTAGACTGCTAGATTTGGTCTTATCGCATTTCAGTTGTGAAGTGAAGCACGATGACTCACCTTTGGTCTATGAAGACTCTCATCACCCAGCTCTTCTAATAAAATTTACGGATATATTTGTAAAAGAGCCTAAATTTAGGTATGATTTGGAGCAATTAACTTACAACTTTAAAAAATCAAATTTTCCTGCCTTATATCGAGAACTGTATGAAACGGATTGAAATTCTCTGGATACTTCTAATGAAGTTAATCAAACTTTAAATAACTTTTATGATAAGATTTTTTCTGTGTTTAATAAGTATATTCCAGTTTATAAAAATTTTAGCCATAAATACCCACCCTGGTTCGATGCTGATATCATTAACAACATCAAATTAAAAGCAAAGTTTAGAAAAAAGTTTAAACGATTCAAAAATCATTGTGATTTGCTTAAGTTTCAACGGTTAAGACACCTTGTTAAATCAAAATCAGTTTGGCATACAATGTATATGTCGAGAATATCCAAAGTGCTTTATCCATCAACCCCAAGAAGTTTTGGTCGTACGTAAATTTGAAAAATAATAGTTCAAGAATTCCTGGTGCGATGAAATATAATGGCATTACTACCTCCGACCCACAAAATATTGTGAATGTGTTTGCAGAATTTTTCAAGAGTGTTTTTATGTCATCAGATATTAATTTCAAGGCTAACTCTTCATCAGTTAACGCAGATTACTTAAATTTTTTTCCTATTTTAGAGTCTGAGATAATTTTTGCTAGTAAGAAATTGAAAGACGTGTGAACCTGATAATATTCCATCCTTTTTGGTTAAGGATTGCATAGGTGCCTTAACTGTGCCACTATTAAACATTTTTAATTTGTGTCTTCTTAACAAGGAATATTCGAGTCTTTGGAAGAAATCAAAAGTGTGCCCAATATTAAAAAATGGTGAAAAGGGTCAGGTAGAAAGCTATAGACCAATTTCCATTATTTGCAATCTGTCGAAAGTCTTTGAAATAGTTTGGTATTTATTCACGCACTCGTAATCAGCTGTCTCAATATTAACATGGTTTTGTCTCCAATCGGTCCACTATGACAAACTTATTAATGGTCACACAATATATCTCAGCGGCTCTAGATAATAGAAGTCAAGTTGACGTCATATATACTGACTTTACGAAGGCGTTCGACAGAATTCACCACGACGTATTACTTTCTAAATTGTGTCTCTTTGGTCTTTCTGAGGATGCCGTGATGAGGTCTTACTTGCCAAATAGAACGCAGTTTGTTGCTTATAATGGCTACAAATCGGAAAAGTACCTAGCTTCTTCAGGTGTTCCACAAGGTTCTAATCTAGGTTCATTATTGTTCTTGTTATTTATTAACGATCTGTGTGAATCAATTTCTGCACCATGTTTATGTTATGCCGATGATTTAAAGATTTATTCATTGATAAGCGACTTTGATGATTGTCATTTTCTGCAGAGTGAACTGAATCGTGTACATGAATGGTGTAATGCAAATCATTTGAATCTTAATGCCAATAAGTGCAAAGTAGTTAGTTATTTTAGGAAACACTCTAATATATACCATCCTTATATTATCGATGGCAAGGAACTTGAACGTTTGAATAAAATTAAAGACCTTGGTGTTACATTTGATTATAAACTCACCTTTGTTTAACATGTTAATTTAAAGTTTAATGAAGCACTTATATCTTATGAATTCATAATTAGAAATAGTCGAAATCTCACTAATACTACTATTAAATTACTTTATTACACTTTTGTACGCTGTAAACTGGAATATGCCTCTGTCATTTGGTCACCTTTTTATGATGTACATATCCAAATTATAGAGCAGGTGCAGCGTAAATTTTTAAAATTTTGGTCTTTCAAAATTAACGGCATATATCTCAAGAGGGGCATCAGCAATAGTGAGTTGTGTAGCGGTTTGGACGTAGTATCATTAGAATCTAAACGAATTAATGCCTCCTTAATATTCCTGTACAAGCTACTACATAATCTCATTGACTGCCTGATATTCTTCGACAAATAAATTTTAACGTTCCATCTTATCCAGTGAGAAATTCAATTACGTTCAGAAATACACAAGCTAGAACTAATCTTATGTTAAATTATCCTCTATTTCTCATGTGCAACTATTATAATTCCTTAAGTGCTTTACTGCGATATATTTCACTGCAGTTTAAAGCAGATTACTAGGATGGCTGAGATCTACCTAGGTGATTGAGTCGTTTCTTTATGTTAAGGTAAAATACTCGAAAATTGTTTTATTTAGTTAGTACCTATGAATTATTAATATTTCATTTAACTTTAGTATTGTATTTTGTCCTATAAATGGATTTTGTTGGACAATGAACGCTATTATTATTATATGCTAAGGGTCTCATATTTATTTATTTATTTATTTATTTATTTCAACGGTAGAACCATTTACAATAAAATACAACAAATAGTAAAAAGTAAAGATCATGTACAATAAACATCAAAACAATAACAAAGAAACAAGTAAACAGTTAAAATTTGTACATTAAAACAATATATCATATCACAAAAATTTAAAAAAAAGTATCAGTATCACATATCTAGATTAATAGTCAGATTCTTAAGTTGCCTTTTAAAAGCATTAATGGCTGGGCAGACAGGATCCAATAGGAGGTCATTGCAAGAGCTGAGCATTCTCGACAAGGGAAAATGACAAGCATATAATCAGTCCTATGAAAAGGAATATAAAAGAGTGCAGTGTGTCGAGTTCTATGCATTGTGTTTAAGTGTACATTGGCTAATAACGAGGGACAATTAATAATGTTGTTTAGAATTTTAAACAAAAATAACATATCAGCTCTTAACCTGCGGTTCTTTAATGTAGCAATGTTAAAATGAGACATTATTATAGAATAATCTACGAAATAATTTTCAGTATTTTTTATTTTTATATGTGCTTTAAAAGCTAAAGATCTTAGAAACTTCCTCTGAACGCTCTCCAATCCATCAATGTATACTTGATGAAACGGGGACCAGGCAACAGAGCAGTATTCAAGGCCTGAGCGTACCAGAGAGCAATACAATAATTTAAATACAATAGGTGAGAGATCATGACTGTTACGATAAATAAAACCAAGATTACGAAATCCTGTATCCTTAATTTGAAGAAAATGGCTTCTAAATGTCAATGCACAATCCAATAATACACCCAAATCTATAATCTCAGTAACTGAATCCAAGAATACATCATTAAGAATGTATCTATTAGCTATTAGATTATTTATACGACCAAATGAAATACAAGAACATTTAGTTGGATTTAAGCTTAAACCATTTTGTTTAGACCATAAACATATGTTATTTACATCATCTTGCAGGAGATCTCTATCCGATTTATTATGTATACAACGAAATATCTTAAGATCATTAGCAAATAGCAGGAAGTGTGTGTGTTTGATAGCCTTACCAATATCGTTAATGAACAAGTTAAAAACAAGGGACCACAATGAGACCCTTGTGGTACACAAGAATAACAATGAAATTCTTTTGAAATATAATTGTTAATACGAACTTGCTGTGTACGTCCCATCAGAAAACTTTTAATCCAATTAACAATGGGGTCACCAAAGCCAGATGCATGAAGTTTGTGAACCAAAAGATTATGATTAACCTGGTCAAAGGCCTTTGAGACATCAGTGTAAACGCTGTCAACCTGAATTTTATTCTCAAATGCACCCAACAAGTATTGTTGGTAATTGACAAGGTTTGTTACAGTTGATTTCCCGTTAGAAAAACCCTCTTGTTCATCAATAATTATGTTTCTGCAAGCCCAGGTGAGATTTATTGATGCCGATTTATCAAGAAGTTTCGGGATTGCTGATTCAATAGTTATACCTCTATAATTGTTAACACACTCGCGATTACCAGATTTATAGATAGGTGTAAGAAAACTATTTTTCCAATATTGTGGAAATACAGATGATGACAATGATAAATTGAGAATTTGTACTCAAAAGTGTAATACGTAGAATAAGGATTTTGTATGTTTGATATACGATCTTAAACTGTTTCTATATTAAACTAAATACTCGATACTTACTATTTTCAGGTCACAGTCTATGTAATGAATGCATTGAAAAGGTTCAAAGCTGTCCCAATTGTCGCAGTTCCTTAGCCAGTAAAACACGAAATTTTACAGTAGAGAAACTGACAACCAAAGTAAATTATCCCTGTAGAAATCGAGATATCGGTTGTGGTTTTTCAACCACATCCGACAACATTCGGGATCATGAAAAGAACTGTGATTTGGCAGATACCGTTTGCATTTTCAAATGTGGCGAGAAATTTAAACGAACAAGTCTTCTGGGTCATATCAACACTGCACATAAAGAAGGCGTTATACAGCTCAACGTTGTTAATACCTTAAATATATTGCACAAGAAAGAGACTACACTAGTTGTATCAGCATTTGGAGAAATGTTTAGACTGAGTATAAAAAGTAAGTACATTTTTTATTTTTATTTATTTATCGTATGGCTCTTACACATTTACATCTAAATTTACATATATTTTGTATAAATCATAATGCATACTACGAACATTTAACTTATTTATATAGTCTATCGACTCTGGAGTCGCCATGATTGCATCTTGTGGGACATTGTTCTGTGATGTGACAGATGGTTTGTGGTTGTCCTCAGTCACAGAGTGGGGATGGTCGTTTACCTCACTTGTGCATCATGTAACCACATGTGCCATGTTGGGTTCTGATTCCGTTCAGCATAGTCCATGTGTTGCGTCTGCGTGGTAAGTCAAAACCTGGTGGTTTTTCTGTGATGCAGGGTAAACCGCCATTTTGTTGATCATTTTCAACTCATTTTCCATAGCAGTCTGTGCAGTTTTTATTGGCGGTCAGGCGAGTTTGGTATTTTCGAATTGGATGTTGAGTATTCTTCCTGCAAGCTTGTTATTAAGATAGATACTTTAAACCTCTGTTTTGTTAGCGTTTGGTTGAAGCCCCCATTTACGGAAATACTTTCACACTTTGTACAAGTCCGCCGTGAGGATTTTTTTTTATTTCTTCGAATGACTTACACCTTGTTGTAAGGACCCAGTCATCGGTGTAACGAAACTTCCTTGATCTTTTTTCTGGAATATCAGCTATGTACAGGCTAAAGAGGAGAGGAACTAGAACAAATCCCTGGGCAGTCCATTCTTCAGTTTGTATACCATGCCTTCTCTCCAGACTGCCTCAATAAATGTGGTAAGTGAAAGAACCTGATCTGCGCAGCTTTTTTTCGGTGGAAAGCTGTCTGATCGACCGGTATCGATTCGAGTAGCTTTGGACTAATTCTGTTGTAGATAAGTCGTTCTAGTAGATTGAACGTCGTCGATAGTAGGGCTATTGTTCTGTAGTTCTTAGGGTTGTTATCATTTGGTTTCCCTGGTCTAATATCCGACAGAAAACTACTAATCCAAATCGATGTATTGCCAATAAAAACTAACGTCATTAAGGTATATGCACCCATCAGCAAAATAGGCGAAAAAATATAAGTATTATATTATGACTTCGATTCGGGAAAGTGTTAGGAAAGTTTGTGAACAAAATTCATACTGGTAAAATGAAAATTGCATTTTTTGCATAAGTTATGATTTCAACAATCATTACTGTAATGATTGTTGAAATCATAACTTATGCAAAAAATGCAATTTTCATTTTACCACCATGTCATCTGTAAATGGTATATTTCTCTTTCTTAGCCACTCTTTTATTTCATCTTTTTTTGATGCAGTCGTTATATTTTTTTCACTTTGAACATTGTGGCATCAGGTATTATCAATCACTAATACACTTTGTGGTGGTACGTTCGGAATCAACATTTCCACTAGCCACTTTTTATAATTTTGAAAGTTCATCTGACTATGGTAATCACCAGTTTTTAAATTTGATTTAAATTTTAAGTAGGAATTTTTTATAAACCCCATTTCCCCTCCTGCCTGAACTATTATTAACCTCTGTCCTTTAGAGATAAGCTTACCAAACCATCGTGAGAATCATCATTCCAACTTTTATTGAATGTGTGACAAGAGTAGATGTATGTTTCGTCCATGTATACTATAGGACGATTTTCATTTCTGTATCTCTTAATACTTCGCAAAAGAGCTATCCTTTTTTGTTGAATGTCAGGTTTTTCCATAAGTAATTTTTTCTTTGTCTGAGTTTTTCGCCACCGGAAACCAATTTTATGTAATACTTTTCGTAAACTTTCATACGATCCTGTGTAATTAATTTCATTGACAAATTTCCTGTGTATGCCTCTCAAAGTGGGAACGTTTTTTCGTGGACGTGAAGATTTATTACAAATCTCTGAAGAATTTCCTTATCAAATGAAATCGTAGGCTTCCACGGCCAGAGTCAGAATTATAATTTATTCGCCTTCCGGGTTTGGACCGTGTCATTTGTGAGTGACCCAAAAGTGGGTTCATCTCGACGTTTCGCTACAATTGTATGTAGCTTCTTCAGGAGAACAAAGAAAAAGAAAAAGAAATCAAAAGACAAGAAGATGGGTAGTTAGCAACGGTAACTCAGTTACTCAACCCAACCAGAGGCGAATACTAACTACCAAGATGGGCATTTGGTCACAGTAACTCAACTACTCAACGCAGCCAGAGGTGAAAACCAAATGCCAGGACAGGAATCCCCGAGGATTCACTCCCCGCCTCTCGACGCGTTAGTGTTCTGAGCTGTTGGACGTGAATCCCTGTCCTGGCATTTGGTTTTCACCTCTGGCTGCGTTGAGTAGTTGAGTTACTGTGACCAAATGCCCATCTTGGTAGTTAGTATTCGCCTCTGGTTGCGTTGAGTAACTGAGTTACCGTTGCTAACTACCCATCTTCTTGTCTTTTGATTTCTTTTTCTTTTTCTTTGTTCTCCTGAAGAATTAGTATTCGCCTCTGGTTGCGTTGAGTAACTGAGTTACCGTTGCTAACTACCCATCTTCTTGTCTTTTGATTTCTTTTTCTTTTTCTTTGTTCTCCTGAAGAAGCTACATACAATTGTAGCGAAACGTCGAGATGAACCCACTTTTGGGTCACTCACAAATGACACGGTCCAAACCCGGAAGACGAATAAACTATAATTTCCTTATCCATATTATCCAACTTAGTTTTGGTCGTACTTTTTTATCTTTTAATATTAGGTGTATGGAACGGATCGCTTTCACCATCTTCAACTGGTCTCATTTCCTTTGAAATTTTCTTTACAGAACCAAATAACACCAGTTGCGCGCGAAACACGTTCTTGAATTTTCGTTAGTTCTATTATTGGATTTTTATCCTACGCTTCTCGTTTCATAAAATATATTACATTTTTCACCATATATAAAATATATGACTATAATTTCACGAGATTAACCACTCAAAACTTTACGATGAACTTTTGATTTAAATTCCATTGTAACGGTACCGGAGTAATAAGTCATACACCAGTGTAATTGATAAGCGTCTGATCTGTTTGCTTCTGCTAACAAAATGAAACTGAGTATATGCGGGCCACTGACGGATCCTCCCTCCAAATTTATATTCTTGTCAAAACTTAGAGACATTGGTATTCTTGACGAGCTGTATGTGTTTACTCATAATAATTCCTACGCTAAGGATTCCCATGTGGTGCAGCAACGTTTGTGTAATATAGTATTACCTGCTCCCACGTGATATATTTTTCTTAGGTTTTCTCTAAATGCGATTGCCTCGTCATACAATGATGAACACTATTCGACTATTATTTCCATCTTGTCCGCGAAGAAATTAATTACATATTGACAAATAATTTGGTATTATTTATTTATTTTTTTATTGAGGAATATTAAAAATATTTTTTATGTTTCTCCTTTTAGCAATACAATCCGCAGCAGGGAGTGCAGAATTCATTTTCAAATTGAATGTTCAGCACATGGACGAGGTAAACCAGCATTCGGTATATCGTTACAAATTCGACTTTATTGATCAAAGCGACGAGGGACGAAGTACCACCATTATGAGTACTACCCAACCTATATCTGAAAAACCCCTGAAATTAAACCATGTTACCGTACCGTACCATGTAATCAAAGCAGCTTCAAAAGAAAATAAGCTATATTACAGACTTAATATGTATTCCGGTAAAAGGAAAAGATTGTCAAATGTGTAATGTTATATAGGTTGTAAGCATTTTTAGTAAAAGCATAGCATACAGTAAATATTTTTAATCTTGTTTGGTATTTAATTTAAGGATATATAAGTGTGTCTCATGTTTCATGAGGTACCAATATTATAAACTCTTATGATAAATTTTTTCTTCTCGGTCGTTTTTTTTTCGATCGATTTTATTTTTGTTATATTTTATAAACTCAATGCTATGTTTTGTGTTCTGTTTTGACTATAGAATTTTTTTTGTATCGTTTTTATTTGTTTTTTAATCATATTTATGTGTAATGTATCTGTGATCGATCTGAGATAAAGTTAAAATAAGGGTACAAACGCGATAAGTTAAAATAGATCAAATAATAAAACAGACGAATTAAAAGATATGAGGATATTTAAGGTTTTGTATTATTATAAAAGTTTTAATTAGGAATATTTGTGACAAATATATTGAATGATATATGTCTTGTTTTTTTTATTTAAATTTCATACCTTGCTTCTTGTCGAGTTTTAATAACTACTGACTAATTGAACAATTGTGTCTGTGTAACTATCCCATATATATATATATATATATATATATATATATATATATATATATATATATATATATATATATATATATATATATATATATATATACAGGGTGGTCGTTAAGTAATTGTACAAAAAGAAACCGTAGATTCTACACTTTAAAATGTTACGATTTAAGCCAAATTGCTTTAATAAAATTTTGATATTAAGAAAGATACAGGGTGTTAAAATGGACATTTAAAATTTTAATTTTCGCTATAACTTTCATGTTTGTGAACATTTATGTATAAAAATTCATAACTGTGTACTATTGAACATCACAAATTATAATTTAATGCACAATTTAACGTAGCTGATATAGGGTGGCACATATGTGGCATACATTTGCACTTATCTTTTTTACTCTGTAAGTTTTCGGTGTTTGTGATAAAAAATATTAAAGATACATTATTTTAACAAAAAAAAAACGGTATACTTGTTAATAACTTCAAAACTCAACAGTCTTCGAGATAATCGCATTTTACAAATCAACTACATAATTCTGATTTAACGCAATTACTCCTGGCAACGAAAGAAAATTAGACAAAAACTAAGAAATACTTCTAAATTTTTTCTTATAAAATGCCTTTAATAAAGTTAATAGTTAAATAAATATTAAATAAAATAAATATATCATTAGGATAGTTAATAGTAGGATTTGAGAAAATAACAGAATAATTGAATTTTACATCAAACATTTTATGTTTTGTATTAAATTAAAGTCATAATCAAAATATTTTATTTATAAACCAAATTAAGAAATAGGTAAACTAAATAACGTTAAACTTTTTAAATAGGTAAAGAAATAATAAATAAGACTTACTCACAATCAATTTAATTTAACTATCAGACGACCGGTTTCGCTTTCTACAATATGCAAAGCATCTTCTGGTCTCGATACAAAGTTAAACAAATGCTGAAATGATAAAAACCCATATTAGGGTGTTGTCTAATAAAGATAAACAAAGTAGATGTTGGAAATTACAATAATTATGCCAATATTACATGTCTGTGGATTAAAAAGGTATAAACAGTTTTAAAAGTTTAAACAGACAAGTTTTATAACAATTTGTGGGCCTTACCTTAAAAGATCATCTCATATTAAATAGCATCATTGGTTCTAAAGAAACTGCTGCATTATTTGTAATAAGTATTATAAGTATAATATATAATAAATATAATATAATAATAAAGTATCCGTGTAGATGTTGTCTGTCGCCCATCGGACGCGTCCCCAGGTGGTGGATAGGAGAACGCCCTAACCAGTCCTAGGACTGGCGGGTAGGTGGGAAATAAAATACCACCCGTGAACCAAAACAGACTGGTATGGCAACACAACAGAGTCCCTGGCCCTCCGGCTTGAGGGTTAGGGGCCACTCCATATATTACAGCTGCAATGAAAACCAACACATAGATGGAGTGGGATTTATAGTAAACCAAAGAACAAAAGGCCTAGTTATTGATTTTAAAGCCTACAGTCAAAGAATGTGCTATTTACGCTTAAAAGGTAAATTCTTTACAGTTTAAATAATGCACATGCCCCGACCAACGACAAACTAGAAGACATTAAAGAACAATTTTTCGAAGACCTAGAACAAGCCTATAGAAGATGCCCAGAAATGACATCAAGATAGTTCTAGGTGACATGAATGCAAGAATAGGACGAGAGTGAGTTTTTATGCCGACTATAGGCAGGCATAGCCTACACAACATCAGTAGCGATAATGGATTACAACTGATAAACTTAGCAGCAGCATTGAACATGACCGTCGCTAAAATATCAAAATTAAAATTAAAATATCAAAATATTTTACAAAATGAAAAATATAGAAAACAGTTTTTTGAATAAAATGGATTATGATCTTAATAACGAAAATAAAGAAGTCTTTTTTTTTAATATGCATTTTATTTTAAATCTATTTTATATTAAATAACGATAAACAATGATAAATAATAATTAATATTTGGTGGAAGCCCCATTCTTGTCAATACAATTTTGCAGTCTTCTGTTCATAGATAGCACCAATCCCCTCATGTTATAGTTAACAAGCTCTTCCCATGCCTGCTCAATTGCTTTCCATAATTCAATTCTATTCCGTGGTCTAAGGTTTCTTTCATTTAGTTTCTTTGTTAACTCTGCCCACACATTTTCGACGGGGTTAAAGTCTGCACTACGGGAAGGCCACGGAAGAACATTAACATCAGTTTCTTCTAGCCATTCTCGAACAATTCTACTCGTATGCACCGGGCAATTGTCATGTTGGAAGATGAAGTCGTTGTTGGGGAATCTCTGGATCACCGATGGCAACATTGTGTGCTCAATAATATGTTTGTAATATAATCCTGTTAACTTCTCCTCTACATGATAACAAACGCCCGGGCCTTCGGCACTTATCCATTCCCATACGTTGACAGAGAATCCTCCACTATTTCTTAAATGATGCGTATACTGTTCATCATACCTATGATTTCTCGGCCTATAAACTCTTATTCGACCATTATTATACGACTGAAATACTTTTTCATCGGAAAATACAACCCTAGACCAAAAATTCTCATCGCGGTTTATAAATTCATTACAAAATTCAACTCGTCTCCTCTTGTGATCCTCAGTCAAAAAAGGTTTCCGTGCAGCTACACAATTTAGCAGTCCACTTGCTTTAATTCTTCGACGTGCAGTGCGAATACTGCCTGGAAACGCTGCCTCTTCTCTTGCCTTTTGAGCTGTGGCAAAAGGAGATTCTCTCAAATAATCTACTAACATCTCATCCTGTTGATCTGTGGAAATCTTCTGCCCTCCTGAACCGCCCAACCGTGCTATAGAGTGAAAATTATCCCATCTTTGTTTAATCTTCCATATGCACATATGACTCACGTTCAAATCAGCAGCAACTTGCCTTAGTGACCAACCTTCTTCGAGTTTGGCAATTGCTCTTGCTTTTTGCGCATAATTCAAATGTATTCTAACCATTTTGGAAGAGTTTAATATACTTTTATTTTATTGTTGAACACTCGCGAAAGCATTGACGTTTTGAAATTTTTTGACTTTGACATTTATCAAATCCGTACGACACTGCAATTTTACAGTATTACAATATAAAAAGTAAGGTGTAAACTATTCCGTGACCGCAACTGTACAAACACTGTATTGGGATTGTAGCAAAGCAACTAGGTAGAATGATCATTCCTTTTCTAGTTGCAGTAATGAAAATGTGTACTTGTGTTATTAATGTGTGTTGTGGCAATTTGCGCCACATTTAATAAGTTGTCTGTATTTTTTTTGGCACCAGCTGATGAGACTTTTATTTTCTATGGGTTATTACCGGAAAAGTAGTAGTCTATTACGACATAAAAGATTATTTTTTAAAGCATACTTTTGGCTCAGATAACCTTATGATCCACACATTCTACCAATAGTAGTCCAGTTGTAAGAGACGCAAATGCCACTGAACCTCTAAAAATCATACGAACAAGCTGAATTTTGCTGAGAATGCCAATTTGTGACAAAGATGCAAAAAAATTTGCCACTCCTACTACCTCCCATAACTGTCTAACTTTGAATTACGGCAAATACCGATTTACCAAGAACCTATAGAAGAAAATGTTTCAAACAAGAAATGTAGCTGAGATAATTCTGAACAAAAATGTTCATTCGCGCTTTTTGAAACGTTCTATCAGAAACCAATTTTTTAAATAAAATTTGTATCAGCTCGGCGCTAAAAATTCGATATATTTTTTCGAGAGGACACTCTGATCAAAAGATATCGAATTTTTACCGTCGAATTGATATCAATTTTATTTAAAAACAT